CTCGAAGAGGCATGAGGAACCACAGACAAGCAGGAAAGCAGCCACGCGGTGAGACAGTGCCAATCATCGCCCAAGCTCTGCAGTCCTCTGTATATATCAATGTTATCCGCCAGTTAATGAGTGTTTACATGTGGGAGAAAATCGGAGCACTCTGAGAAAACCCACGTGTGCGGGAGGGACACACTCTATCTCATGCAGATGGAACAGGTGGAGATGGAACAGGTGGAGTCCACATCTCTGCATTCTCCTGGTGAGTGCCTTGACTGCCACGGGAGTTGGATTAACAGAAGTACATAGCCGCCACCACCACTCGGCAGGAAAACTGTACCGTTTAACTTCCGTCACAATTAACAAAGACACGTGCAAATGCTACCACGCTTACTGTGCACTGCGTGATAAGTTAGTTTAGCACCAACCCCACTCGCCTACTGTGACATGACAAACGCATCACATTATTTCTTGGTGTATTCGTGTAAATATGTTTGTATGTTTGTGTTCATAAAAGCTCTCCCCAAGAAATTGTTAGCACAATGTATAATAAGTTTCCTAGGTTGCGGAACACCCGACTTACGGAAATCCGACTTTACGGAAACGCTCCCGTAAATCATGTTTAAAAAAAAATTGCGGGTCGCCTGACGCCCCCTCCCTGCGCCAAAACGCCGCCTTCACCGAGCCTGAACTTCACTCGGATTAAGGGAATTGTACATTTTTTGCAGTGTTACGTAATTATTTTCCTTTTGTGGCATTACATAATAGTTTTTTCTATGCTCAGAACAATCTTTTTTTTCTCCATGTTTCTATTGCTAGTTTTCTTCATTTTATTATTTTATTATGTTTTATTTTTATTATTTTATAACTTCCCTTCTACGTGACTTTACCGAAAGAACCAAGAAGAGGAATCCCTGCAGTCACGAAAGCTTTAAATCGAAATATATTTCACGAATTATTTTACTGTATATGCTTTATTTATCACAATTGCACTTCGATTGTGTATGGTCTCAGCCAACGGCGATCGGGAAAAGTCGAGGCCTAGCCTAATGCACGATAAACGAACATTCGGGAGTAACCGCTTTCTGTTAACCGTTAAGATTACAATGTTTCATGGTGTTCATAAACAATCAGAAACATTATATGTTCCCAGAACCGGCCCTAGACCTTTGGGGCCCCTAAGCAAAATTTGGTTGGAGGCCCCTTTGATGTATGATTTTTTTCACCCACTCGCTAGCAGTGACTCTAGGGGGCCCTCTGCTGGCCACGGGGCCCTTTGCAATTGCAAGGGTCGCTTAGTGGCTGGGCCGGCTCTGTATGTTCCATTAGTTTAACTACGGGTAGTGTCGAGGAAATGAAAGAATCATAGGAAGTGCAGAGTGTATTTACAGCGATACGATGCGGGTAGCGATAGAAAACAAACGGGATAAAAACTTTTCGGCTATGGGATTTTATCTTGATTTTGGGGTAAAATTGTCAGTTTCCAACACACGGAAAATGCGGGTTATGGATCGTTCTCGGAAACCGAACCCTTCAGTAACCTGGGGACTGCTTGTGTACTATAACGCTAGCAACTCGACTTCAATTCCTAGCCACAGCTTACCTCAGTGGCCTATATCTGAACTGATAATGGGCCTCCTCTAGGTTATTTCAGTCTTGCACGAATACTTGGTGTGTAGACATCATCAAAGGGGAGCCAACGGCAGCTGGGCATGGTGTTGGCCACATCGCCACCTCATAGGCTGTGTAAGCCTTCATAGGTGCTTGATAACAGCGCTTGCCGCAAGTAGGCCGCTGTACGTGAGCTGTATCGGTCAGTTTCGTTCCGACAAACGGGGCACTACTTTTTCTTTTGCTCAATATGTTCAACGTTAATAAAAGGTATCCAAGCAAAAAGTTCTCCACGCATTATCCTGCAGTTAATGAGAAAAGTGTAATTTATTGGCGCACTATATTGACTGCGTATTGAGACATATAAAACTGTTGAGCTAGATTTTCAACCAATCAGCATCGAAAATGTAAGTAGGTCAGAGCCAAAATCAAGCCAATATCACTACGCACATGTAAACATGGAGGACTTAAGCAGCACAGCTTCATCTGATAGCGGCGATCAAACTCGATTAACACAGGTATGTTTACTCACTTGAATTGAATGTTATGCAAGTTAATATATTGCCAACTGGGTTTATAATTTATTCTTCATATCTTTAATATAGGACTTCTTCGTGAGGCAGCTCAAATGAAATCAGATGAGAGCATTCTGACACACATTCGTGGGAAAGACTGCATTGCAATCGAGGTCCGATACCACAAATCCTGCTATCGAGATTACACAAGATTTCTCAGCAAAACTGAACAACATATAGGTAGGTAAAAAAAAATGTTTGTTCACAAATCTGTGGGGTCACTCCAATTACATTTACATATTGCGTGTGAATGCAATGTAATTCCATAATCAAATTATTTCTCTATAGAAGGTAGGGCTTTAAATATACATGTCCTATCTAATGCTCTGACTGGAGCCTTCACTTAGCAACAGTGAGACGTATGCTGGCATGGTATTTTGCATATGACCGCCAAAATTATGCAAGGTACCTATCAGCATATTGGGTCGAGATGATCAATCTTCCAAAGACTCATCCACACTGCTATGAAGAAGTTACTGCAAAAGGAAACTGGACAGTACAGCGTAAGGATGCTAACAGGTTCTCATCCATAGCTTGTGACCAAGCAATAGAACAAACCTGCAACCGTGATTCAAAGACCAAAGGCGGCATAACTGGGATAACATTGAACAGAGGTGCCGTCCAGCGATGGATACTGTCTCATCCTGAACGTTCTGCAATCACAAGGCAGTGTGAAATGATGGCTGGAATGCAACATGAAGAGAGGGGTCATAAAGAGTTGGATGCAACAAGAATTGCAAAAGACAACGCTGCTGTTATATCTTTGGTTTCAGCGGTTGAGTCTATGATCAATCCCTTGCTGCCTCGTGAAGATCTTGTATGTATTAGCTCTGGTGTTGTTGCTACAAAGACTGTCAGAGATGACATACAAAGTGCTTGTGATAAAGGTGAAACAGCTCTGAAAATTTTCATCCAAGATCGAGTCCAGTCATCAAAAACAGACTTCTTCTCTCCAATAAAGTCATTGAAGCTCACTGCGTTTGGGGATCAAATGAAGAAACCATCCAAGACAAAAGATGGAAATCAAGTCATTCTAAAAAATGACAGGAGACTCTTTGCACGACTGTTAGTGATAAGTCAATCCCTGTCTGTAAACTTGAAAGAGATTCTGACATATTCACTTGGCAATCTCATCCCCGCTAGCAAGCACTGATGGTTCATTAGCCAAAACAAATAAGGCTGCTTTTCTAGCTTGTTTAGAATCAAAGAACAAGGACTGTCATGTGAACAAGACTGTTGGTGATAATGGTGCCATACTGATAGATGGCATGGCATTGATCAGGAGTCTCAAGAATATACCAGACACATTCGGTGAGCTTGCTGATGATCTTCTTCAACTTATGATTAAGATGGGTAGAAAGTTGTCCAAGGGTCGATTTTGTCATTGATCGCTACCCGGCAGTGAGCATCAAAAATGCTGAACGATCAAGACGTGCTGTTGCTGGACAACAATTACTGCAAATATACAGCATCAAGCAGAAGACTCCAAGTCAGTCGACCAAGTTTCTAGCCAGTGGTGAAAATAAAAAAGCCTTGACAGACTTTTTCTTTGAGACATGGAGAACTGTGCCTTTACAAGCAGCTGGAAAAGACATAGCTATCTTTGTGGCACACAGAAATGTATGTTATCAACTCACTCTTAAAGATGGCATTATGTCTGTCAAAGAGGTAGAATCTTTGACTTGTGACCATGAAGAAGCGGACACGAGGCTCCTACTTCATGCAAAACATGCCTGGAGTGAACTTTATAATAAGATAATCATCCAGAGTCCTGACACTGATGTTGCTATCATTTCACTTTCAATAATGGCTAAGCTTCCCTCAGCAAAGATGTACTTTCTGACAGGAACAAAAGACAGGCAAAGAATGTTAGATCTCCAGGCTATTGGTTCTGCTTTGGGTCCTCCACTAACAGAGGCACTGATAGGACTACACACATTCACTGGCTGTGACTCAACTAGTTCCTTTTATGGGAAAGGAAAAGAGAAACCACTAAATATAGTGTCTGGAAATGCAGAGTACATCCGTGCATTTGTTGCTCTTGGGAGGCAATTTGAAATGGACAGCACCACATTTGTGACCATAGAACGTTTTGTGTGTGAGCTGTATGGAGAAAAGGTAGCAGATGTTAATTTGGCCAGATACAATAGGTTCTGTGTCCAGGCCTCTTCCGAACAGGCATTACCTCCAACAAAAGATGCACTTACAGAGCACTTCAAGCGTGCTAACTACCTAGCTGCAATCCACAGGAGAGCATTGGATCCTTTTATAAATGCTCCCAGTCCAGACGGCTTTGGATGTATTGTCAAGGATGGTGATCTCATCATATCATGGATGACTAAAGATCCAGCTTCTCAACAGATTTTGGGGTCACTCCACTGTGGGTGTAAGACTGTAAGTCTCGTACTTGTACAGGTGGAAGGTGCTCATGCCACAAGGCTGGCCTGGCCTGCACTGACCTATGTAAATGTGTTCATTGTGACAATGTGAGATTAACTGAGGATATTGTTTCATGTGAATCTGATAGTGAGGACAGTGATCTTGATATTTAGTGATGTGTATATGATAATAAAATTAATATAGGACATATATATTTAATATAAATCAATCAAAATTCAATCTTGTTTACAATAATCATTGCTGTGAATATGTACATGTAGTGCAGTTGCTGCTCATGTATGCGAATTGACAATTCACCATTAAATGTGTTATTTTGAAAAGTGCCTTTTTATACATTATATTTTGGCTTAATTCTATTTGTTATTCAGATTTTACCTCAAATATTACCTTACAATTGGAACAACATAATGAGAAGTAATCGGGATGTTAATGCTACAGCAGAAGTTTTATTGATAATCTTATCATGTTTACTGTGCATAGATAGCAACTTCAGGTATATCACACATTTCAAACTGGTTAATTTTGTATTTCAAGTGGTAATTCTGCATTTTTGGGTTTATATGATAAACAGGTTTAAAAGTGCAAAATTCCCTATGGTTTCCCTTTTTTCAAAATGGGCACCTTTAGCATCATTTTTCTCAAAAACTGCAAGGTTGTGTGCGGAGAACTTTTTCCTAAGGAATCTCTATATATTTCTGATGTTAAATATTAAAAAAGTAGGTAGTGCCCCACTTGGTGGAACGAAACCCTATTTCTAGGCCTCTTTTAGGCTACCGACAGCGGCCTAAAGACTCTGTATCAGCTATTGGGGGGATATTGGCCTTCGTGAAAAGCACTCGCACTGGCCGAGTTCAATTCCTGGCCATGGACAACACCGTTAGTAATCTGTACTTTAACCTGGTTTGGACCTCCGCTAGGCCATAAACTAAAATGTAGTATGTTGTGGTCAAAATCAATACTGGCATGAAAAGGTATGCAATCCTCATTAAGAGCACCAGCCCTAATAGCTGATTATACAAAATAAATAAAACCAAGCATATGCATGGATTCTGTACCACTTTCAAACATGCGATCGTCTTTAAAAAGTACATTTGTGATTTTACGTTGCAAGCCGCACAACAAGCCGCACATCACGTGACGTCGCGAGATGACGTCAATAATTACATAATCTGGACGGGAGGTGTCACACGCAACATCACAATCTTATCCAGCAAAGCCAATACTTCTAGCGCTGGTTTTTGTCACCATATGTTTGGCAAATCTTTGATACATGTGCCGGATTTTCTCTGGCACAACAAAGCTTTATCATAAATGTTTATTTTGGATCATCTATAAGAGTTATTGTGCCCCCCCCCCCCGCGTCCCCCCCCCCCCCGTTAGAGACCGACAGACGCACGGATACAACTATAACGCATTAATGCCTGAAACCTTAGCTCGAAAGTGTCAATAAAAGGGGCATTCTCTTTGTATATTTTCTTTGCGCCAGCTTGTACGGGTACGTGTCCACACGAGTGTCTATGTGCGTGCGAATGCCGGTCAGGCTGCGACGGGCACGGACGTTGATGCGTGCGAGAGTGCGGTGCAGATCCAGCGGGCAGCGGCCGACGACTGCAGCCACAGGAGAAGCTCGTAGATGCGGAGGTGGCAGAGCGTGAGCGACGCGCCCAGCCGGACTCTCGCCCGGCCGACCCACGAAGCTTCGTGCTCCACTTCCCACCTGGCGATCGTCCGCGCAGAGCATTCGCCCACCCATTAACAACATTTACTTTGTACGATTAGAAATAGATTTTTTGGTTAGGTAACGAATTTAACTGGACAAATCTTCGTCATGAAAGTCTCCACCACCTGATAAAGCATCTTCAGGTGACAGCATCTTCAGGGTGATTTACTGGAAGTCAAAGTGACTTCCTGGGTTCTGACATGAAGGTGGCTGATGCAGTTTCAAGCGAAATGTCACATCTGATGGATACATTTTGGTTGCAAGAATTGTTCTTCAACTGGTGAGCTGAAACAATAATTAATTTGCCCTTTAAATGCCGATACACGTGAAAATGCTGTGACAAAATTTGGTCAGATCATTGTGGCCTTCACAAAAATCAATTATGAATCATGGACCACATTGGCTGCGAAAACTCACGTGCATTTTTCTCTCTGCGACATTCAAAACAGTTGTTAATTTGTTACGAAGTGAAAAGCGGTTATCACAGATCAATTCCCACAATGCTGCAGCCGCCTGCCCACGTTTCAACCGTGCCTCACAAAACGTAGCCACTTTCCGTTCTCTGTCCACTACTGGATTTAAGGTCTTCGCCAAAAACCAGCTGACCGGCGCACCTGCACAGGGCTCGCACGCAGCAGCGCGACATGGTGATGAAGGAGCTGGCGTCGGCGCGCGTTCGCAGCACCGTCTCGATGCCGCGCAGCAGGTCGTTCGTCTTGAGCAGCAGCAGCATCTCGCGCGGCACGCGGTTCAGCAGATCGCTGATTTGGGGCAGGTACTGGGCTGCACTGCCCCGCACCTCACTCTCCTGCGTCACGCAGCAGTAGTAGCAGTAGCAGCAGCAGTAGCAGCAGCAGCAGCAGCAGCGAAAACAATAAACAAAACACCACCCGTCTTTAGCCTGTGCAGGATTGAGGGATGGGTGGATGGGTGTTGTTGTTCGCAAGCACCTATTTACCCCATTCCGGTACATCTTCAACCTTGCACTGTACGTGTACGTCATCAGCTAATAACTTTATCGATGTCTTCAGGTCCGAAACCACTGTTGACCTTCCAAAAAAGTGGTAGTGTGTTATTTTATCAACTGAACAAGGAGGAGAGTTGACCCTTTGCCAGAATTTGAACTGATAACCACCTCGGTTGCCGATGATAATGACGATAATAACGGTGAGAACGACAACAGGCGGCTTGCAAACACATTTCTACCTCTTTGCTCGTGATGGGCGCCCGGTCGATGCCTTGCTGCACCACGTCCCAGGAGCGCGCCGTGAGCACGCACGCAAACAGCCCGTACAGCTCGCCGGCCCCCAAGCTCCTCGCGTGCTTCTCCACAGCGGCCACATCCGCCCGGAGCAACGCCTGCCACAGGCGGCAGTAGTCCACCCGGAAGCCGTCGGACAGCGTCTGCAGCACCGGCGACACGGCCAAGCGGAGGAAAATTGTTGCGGCGAGCTGTGCAGCTTTTGCGGTTCGGGCTCGGTAACCTCCCCGGTGAATATTGTACAAGACGTATTAACCAAAAGGTACACGCCGTCCGCTTCACAGTGGATGTTAAATATTTCCATGAGGTCATGAGAAAAAGAGGAGGCCATGTCTGCTGGCGTCATGGTCCATGTTCGATAAATTACTCGCAAATTAACTGAGAGAAGCCACATAGCGACGTCACCCCTCCCCGTACTGGAAAAGTAATGCCCATATATAAGCGGATACGGCGTCCATCTTGTGCCGCACAGGGACAGCTTTCAATGGGGGTCCCTCCTTGGCTCGTGCCACAGGGCACCTCGGGATTTGCACTGGATTGGGAGATGCGGTGTCAATACTAAGTGGTGATGATGATGATGATGATTTTCAGGGGTAGCTAGGGGTACAAACGCAGAGGGTCAGCCTAAGCACAATACAGTGATGCAGGTTTTAGATGTACAGTTGATCATCGATTTTCCGACGCGCGATTATCCGGCTTCTAAAATCCGGCGGTCCCGGGTCGATCCCCCGAAACGGGTAAACCCGCTCCAAGGCTGTGCAAGTCTGGCGATCAGCACCATGTGCGTGAAAAAAAAGGGTAGCTATGCTTGATTTCAGTGTCCAATATTATTTACAGTACAATATACACGACATACAACTTAATGAAAATACTGCACGTATGTATATTTTTCGTGACTAATAACTACATTTATAAAACAGCAAATGTAGAGTGCGATCCGGTGAAAAAAGTATGTAACTCGGCGTTCGCCAGAGCACCGGTCTAAAGGCTGCATCAGTCCGGCGATTGTCAAACGCATGTCATTGTAACAAGCGCGTAGTAGTGCTACGTACATAACCCCATGCAGAGTGTTCGAGATTGGAGTGGTAAGTACGGTACAATAAATACGGTAACTTTTTACAGTAGGATATTTATTTTTTGTCTATTTGTATGTTTATTTATGCCAATTTCACATCGTAAACATATTTAAAACACAATAAAACCATATACACAACACCTAAAAATATAACGTTATAAAATAATTTGCATTTTTTAAATTCTGACAACACCTTCCTCCGCGAAGCCGCCGGACAATCGATGCTCAACTGTTTCTCATGAGTATGATTTAATACAGCAAGTCAGGACTAGTGACTTGGTATGGAGAATTGCAGCTCTTTGTCAATTAACTGTTGTACGGGAGCCTCCCAGCACTCTGTGGGGTATTGGGGTTATCTCTCTGCGACTCCCCAGTGTGGATTAGTCAGCATAGAAGAAAAAATAATCCAATAAAACTTTATCACAATTCCTGCAAACAATTCAATACAAAGTGCTATGCAGGACTATATGAAGGGACTGACGCAATGTAAACAATAAGAATGATACATAACAAAAATTACATGCATTATAATGAACTAAAAGTAGAATAAAATGCATAATAAAGCCATAATAACCAGTGGCTTTTCCTGCACTGCCATCTGCTGTCTATGCTAGGAAAAACAAGGTTTGCTGCGTGTCGAGCAATCAATTTAGAGCAAGAATTTGTGCAGTGTGCACTTTGTTTTACACATCTACCCATAGGCTTGCTGCACTGGCACACGACTGTATAATGACCTGTCTGGACATAGACTAAGGCTTTTTTTGTATCAGGGTCTCATGTTCATCAGAGGCATGTGACAACCTAAGTAATAAAATCCCGACAAACAGCACCAGTTAATCCTGGTATCAATACAGTAGTGGCTGGGTAAACCCACGCCTACTCTGGTGGCATTTCGGTGTCAATCCAGGATTAAGTAATCCATTTACACCATTCGATCCCACACACACATTCTCTGCCATCGGTTCCCCTCCCGCTGGTAGAATCCTCCAATAGGTTTACAGGCTCCCCATTGTCAGCTTTCCTTCCCATCGCCAACACAACGAACTCACTGATATTATTCAAGACTCCCGCCCCACTTTCTGTCGACTCGATCCCTTTCCTTCGAGACTCCTCCGAGAAAAACTTCCTGCCACTCATCCACTTCGTTCTCAAGCCTTTTTAACCAGTCTCTCAACACGGGCATCATTCCGAACAGTTTCACAACATCGGCTCTCACACCCTTTCCAAAAAACCTTGGCTTAGATCCGGGTGATCTCTCCAACCTTCGCCCCATCTCCAGCCTCTCATTTCTTTCGAAAGTCCTTGAACGTGCTGTAGCACACCGCATAACCGCTCATATGACATACAATGACTTGGACTATTTTCAATCAGGCTTCCGAGCGGGCTACAGCACGGAGACAGCATTGGTTCGGGTACTGAATGACTTCCTTCAGTTGGCCGACATGGGACACACTGGTGCACTAGTCCTTCTCGATCTTAGTGCTGCAATGAAATTTAGGGTCCAATTTAAGGTGTTGCTGCTAACAGACAAGGCCTTAAACGGCCTTGCCCCATTTTACATTCAATGGCCGATTCACTTGCACCTACTGTCACGATCTCTCCTATCCACAAATGTACATCTGCTTCATGTGCCGAGAACTAGACTCTGCCCCTGGGGTGGACCAACCTCTGAATGTGCTGCGCCAAGACTATGGAAGGCCCTGCCACCTGTGGTCAGACAGGCGAGGTCACTCACTTGCTTATGTCTTCTCTAAAGACCCACTTGTTTCGCCTGGCCTACACTTCCCCTCAATGATCAGTGGACTCTGGACTTTGCACTATTTATATTTCCTAACTTCGTGCATGGCGCACTGAGATCCTTGCATGAACTGCGCCTAAACATGTATATTATTATTTTCATTTAGGCAATGTGTTCAAATATAAACTTTATCCCATTCTGAGTTTGGCTCGCATATGAACGAGCTGATAAGCTCTAAGTGGACAAAAATCATCAAGCGTGATGAAGAACACGGCTACTACCCGCCAAAGATCTAAGCGTGACTAACTGTGATGATACAAAATTTAAGGATCTGAATAAACCTAAATTAATCAATGTTATTTACCAGGTAAAGCCCACTGAGCTATTAGGTCTTTTTCAAAGCAACCTGGCCACACAGGATAACTCATTGAAGAGGCTCATCAATTTGCAATTTATAGCAGCAGCCAAATAATCTAAACGCATGTTTCCGAATGTGCAGGGCAAACCCCGGCGGGAACTGAGAACAATCCACGTGATTATGGAGAAAGAGAACAAGCAAACTCCAAATAAAAATATACAGGTATCATCAGGGTCGAGATGGAACCCACAATCTCCTGATTGTTTGACCGAATATTGGAGAAGGGGTGGGGGGGGGGAGTTGAATTGCATACCAATGAGATCAACATTTCTTTATGACCACTTTGGTCAACGCGTACCTGGTAGATGCCATGATCCAGCAGGATGACCTCCGTGTGACCAGACGCGGGGTCCCTGTGCACCAGGACGTTCCCGGGGTGCGGGTCGCAGTGCACGAACCCCTCCACGAAGATCATTTCGCTGTACATGCGGCCCAGGTACCGCGACACCTGATTCACATCTATTCCATGCTTCTCCATGTACACGCGGTCGTTGATCTGCCCCCCTTCCACGAACTCCATCATGAGCACGCGATCCGTCGACAGCTCCCAGAAGATGCGAGGCACCTTCACGGTAACATCGTCAAAATTTACATTACCACCATCATCAATAATCATTGCCATCAATTCGAAGGCACTCATCCTGAATGTATGTTTAACTTCTTTGGCACCGCACATAGCAAACCGTGCTAATCGGAAGTGTGGAAGGACAACAAACTAAACACAAAAACCAGTTCTAAAGAAAAGAATGAGCCGAGTCTCATCTGATCTTCCTTTGGGTAAATCACTCTGAATGTGCACGAGCTCGTCAGATCTCAGAAGCTAAGCAGGGTTGAGTCTAGTTAATACATGAATGGAAGACACCTTGGGGATACAGTAGCAGGTGTCATAGGCTGTAAGGTGGCCAAGATAAGGTGATACATAAATGGATTGTATACCATCTGTGTGAAGCGATGAGCTTCAGCCCCTTATATGCATAGGTTTTATTGGGGTACTCCAGTTTCCTCCACTGAATAATGGTATTTGCCTTGAGACTGAGCCAGGCTTTCCTGGATAGACAGATGGAATTACGGGTTTTATATTATTGTGCACAGCTTGAGAAGATCTTTTCAATACTGAGACCAATGTAATATAAAAGTATGAGAAATAAATTAGTTTTATGACTTTTACAGACTTACGTTTGTTCAGTCTGGCAAGAGTGATAATTAATACCTGCATGTTTTTTATCGTAATAATAATCTTAATCCAGCCGACGACATCCTGTGAAATTTTAGTCATGTCTTTGTGGAGAGAATATAGTAATTACCTTAGTCTATGCAAATAAAGCAGTCCAATGTTTAATCCAGTTCTAAGTTATAAAATGATGGCGTTGAGGTGGCTTGCAATTTGTATCCCCTCCCCTCTCCATTCCCCCCTAATATTATCAGGTCTTCCAATGAGTAAGCTCGCCAATTACCACTGTTAGGCTTCCTCAATGCACTGGAGTCTCGAATTACTTTACTGAATCATCGTGGTCTGCGTCTTCACTCATACTCGTGAATATTGACTTGTCACCGTTAGTCATGCTTTGACCTTAGGTGGGTAGTCACGGTCACCATCATGCCTGATGATTTGCGTACACAATCATAGTCAATGTAGGTTCAAATAAGAAAAAATGTTGTCACGAAGTACATCTATAATATTGACAGTGCCTGGCATACAGGGTAGAAATTCGTTTTGGAAAACACTTAAATGTATGATAGGTTTTTTGTGGATATTCAGATCATTTACATGTATTCATTACAAATCTATTCGTGCGAACATTAGTGATGTCACCTGATACCACGTGACATCACTTTAGGCGGTAAAAGCACCGAAGTGATATCACTGAAAATTACATAAACTTCCTGATACGGCATGTTTTCAGGTGCAATCTGAAACAAAACAAAAATCTTTTCAAAAATGTATCTCGGCCCAATGAAAGGATCAATCGAATTTTTGCCAGTTAATATCAAAACAGTGAACACATTCCAAAGCCACAGTGAACACATTGCGAGGCCGCGGTGATTTCCCAGAGGGTGTGCGCTGAGTGCTGTGCCTTCAGGAAGTGGAACTTGTGCAGCATGGAGGCAGCGCGCTCAGCGTTGCGGCCTTCATTCATGAAGTCCAGCTCGATGGGGAGGTTCTTCCGAGCCTCTTCCACCAGCCACAGGAAGCGGAAGTCTGGGAAGAGCCAGGCGACTCCACGCACGAGCACCTGAACGAGCAAAGCATAAATAAATAAACAATCAGTGTTTTCGATTTAAAGCTTTCGTGACTGCAGGGATTCATCTTCTTGGTTCTTTCGGTAAAGTCACGTAGAAGGGAAATAATAAAATAATTAAAATAAAACATAATAAAATAATTCTCACGACGTTTCGGCCACAACGCAAGCAGCCGTCCTCAGGTGAAGAACAGGTCTGTCCTCTGTTCTTCACCTGAGGACGGCTGCTTGTGTTGTGGCCGAAACGTCGTGAGAATTATTTTATTATGTTTTAATTTTATTATTTATTATTTCCCTTCTACGTGACTTTACTGAAAGAACCAATAAGATGAATCAGTGTTTTGTAATACTGCTTGTGCATCTGTTTTATAACATTACATTCTCGATGTAAGTAATGTTACCTCTCTTATTTTGTTCATGGTTAATTCCATTTTTGTTAACGCCTGGTAAAGGTTTTATCGTTTGACAGTTTCTTATGAGTGTTATGTTGTTTGCTGTTATGTGGTTATGTTTATAAGATCGTTCTGTAAAATGTTACGATGTACTGTCTGATGTTAATAGGATCCGCTTCAGAACTAAGACGTGACTCTCAGCCTTATCTACTAGAACTCAACAACACATAAATTCAAATAACACCTCCCCAATTTCTCATTTTAAATACCAAGTGGTGTATAATTTAGCATTTTACACAAAAGAATTATGGACTGCATTGGCAGAGGTGCACAAGCAAATGCAATACATTGGCTGACGTGTGGGGCCAATGGTGAAGCAGTCCCACTGCGCTTTACAGACAGAAAGCGATGACGTTCATCCGGCCTCAACATCATCATCATCTGCCGTGTGATGATTGACAGAGGGGAAAAGAGAAAGAGGGAGCGAGAGAGGGCAAAGCTAGAGTTCGCCCACAGCCACATGGCTTGTTGAGGAGTACGACCGCCCCCGCGTGACCGAGTTTGTGACGGCGAGGCGGGGTCCGGGGCTTGTGGTGCGGGCGGGGGGTCCGTACCTCCATGACGTCGAGGTCGCGGGTCGCCTGACTCCGCACCTTGCGGTGCTGCACCTTGACGGCCACCGTGCGGCCGTCGTGAAGCGTGGCGCGGTGCACCTGGGCCAGAGACGCCGTCCCCAGCGGCCGCGGATCAAAACTCTGGAACAGCTCACCCACCTGCATTGTCATCACATCGTCAAATATAGTGTTAAATTAAACATGTCAATGACCACGACCGAATCGCCTGATCCTGGCAGATCTCATGAGCTAAGCACGGTTAAGCCTGCCTACTGTTCGGATGGGCGATCAATAAGCTTGCATGAACAGGTTGACTGCGTGGCTGTGCTACGTAATGGCCAGTAGAGAGCAGTGCAGCAAAATTAATTGTTGGACCGTAAGTCTGCTCCTGTGTCGATGCCCTCTGGCTTAACCAATCCGGTCAAATAACCCCCATGACCCGCACGACGTGATGAGGCCTTCATCCAACCATGTGTAGTGACTAACTCAGAGACAGTAAGACTTGGAGGCACTTCTTTTATTTACAGAGCACCATCGGGATAATACACACCCTACGTGGATATACACTATTACTGTTGCTAGCCCATACACAACACTAACCGTCTAACACTGACGGCGCTGAACGGAGACAGCCAACAACTATCTAAGCAGTGCAATATCGAGTGAGGATGGCAGTGACGATGGCGACGAGATGGTAATGACGATGGCGATGAGATGGTAACGACGATCTTGAGCAGCACGACGGGATCCCACTTCCAGCAACAACCCCGAGGTCCTCCACAGGGGCACCTCTTGTACTGCCAGCGTGGCCTCGCTCCGCCCCTGGCCACGCCCCCTTTCTGGAACCTACCGGCGGGTTCTCGGTGTGCCCCTTCTGTGACCTTTCCCCTAGATTTCCCTCTGGTGTATCACGTGGCCTGCTGACGCCAGGACAGCCGTACACCGCAGATCCCCTATTTCGCCAGCAGCCAGCGCTATGCCACTACACATGGATTGACCAAGGGACTGCACATTCAATAAGTCAGCAATCAGTGTCTCTATGCGTAATGGATCACTTCACATTCTTAAGCTGTGTGGATTATGAGTATGAGATCAGTTGCACTGTAAGTGGTTAAAAGTGTTTCCATTGATTTTAAGCCCGGTTAAAGTTTGTTTAACCAGTTGGGAACTCAACAGACTAGGAAAGTCAAATGTGCAAGTAACCTATGGCATTAGTCTGCCAGTAGGGTGGATATGATTGCTATGTACAATCCTAGTTTAGCAATTTGCAGGTAATGTAATTTTTTTTATCATGATGCTGGCACACAATGACCTATTCATTTTGAATTATATTGGTGGATGTTTAATGTACACTGTGAAGCACACGGCGTATCGTATATATTTTAGTTAATACACCCACATAAATAACTAGGGTGGCCCGCCGGATTCGAACTGCAAACACGAGCAACAAGCTTTTGAACGTGCTACCGTTGGACCATGTCACCACCGCCAATGTGGAATTTCCACCGCTGTAAACAAGAGATGAGCACTGCTGTAATGGTCAATTTGAGCAGAAAATCACTTTGATGGGCACGGTTGGCTATGTCTGCACACACACAAACTTGAAATGGTGATTCCCAGACAGCGAAAGACACGGCCGCGACGCACCTCTTTCCCCAGCTCTTCGCGGACGACTCTGTGCACGTCCTCGATGGGGCTGGTGGGCGCACTGCTGTGCAGCACCCGCAGCGTGCGCGTGTACTCCTCGGGCAGCAGGTAGTCCAGTGCGCCCAGGTGCTGCCCGGCCTTGATGAACGTGCCTCGATTCGCGCAGCACAGCTCCAGCAGCCGCTCGGCCGAGCGCAAGTGAACCTCGAACACGAACGATGCATTTGTCTGGTCAATACGTCCGTTTGCACTCACAGTTGCATCAAGCGTCATCGTCATCGGTAGCCATGCTCAAGTCGCTGCTGGATGAGAGCCTCTGCTAGACGGCGCCACCTCTCACGGTTCTACGATGCAACATTCACTTAACAGCTAAACGCACGCCGATCTTGTCGCTCCATATTCAAAAGGGATGTTCGCTTGGGGACGTTCTTTGGCTGCCATTCTGTCATTAGTTTCACCCACCGGCCGTCATCCGTTCTAATATCGTGTCCTGGCAAGCCCACTTATCTTAAAAATGTAAACAATACGTGAATTACAATTATAATATTTACAACGTGAATTATATGTTCTCTAATCCATGTGTTTGTCATTGTCTCCCAATGGAATTACAAGCATAGTGCTCTTCATACTTTTCAGCTGGTGTTAAATCAGTTTTGTTAACGACCATGTTTCTGCACTATACGTGATAGGAGGCAGCCCGGTAGGTGGCCAAATAATGACTTGCTGAGTGCCAGGACACCCATGCATGGGACAACTGGAAGTAAGTGGACGAGCCTTGAAGAACTGGTAAAAGACAGACGGCAATAATGAAGTGTGACAGATGGAATGAAAACAAAAACCATCGATGGCAAAATTGGACCTCTCCAGAGCCCAGCTCAGGAGTGAACTCCCTCCAGCAGGTGCCTTCGGATCAAAACGTCGTTTTGGTGTTTCATTTCCTGACAACGGGTTGCTTTCAAATTTGCCAAAAAACTTAAAAGTTTGTAACAATTCATATTTGATCAAAAAACAACATGAAGTGAGCTTGAGCATGACACGTCACTAGAAGGGACGATAGACCCATGGACAAAACCGATGACGGAATGGCAACCGAGGGAGGGTAACAAGCCAAAGGGAACAACCACCACAGACGTGGAGCAAAAAGATGAGTTTGTACGCAGGAACGAGATGGATTGTGGCGTTGCAGAACAGTTAGGGGTAGGGACGTAAGGAGGCCTTCATCCAGCAGTGGATAGACTACGGTTAATCATGACTTGGCAGACTGTGTTTCTGATTTGATAAGCAGTAAGACATCTTAATGTGGATGCGTGCCACCAATCAGTTCACATTGAAGGGACCAACATTTCTGCATGCACCCCTTTATGAGTCTTCTTACGAACCTGTGACTTGGCTGCACAGTACTCATCTGTTCCGTACTCCATACGTTTTAACGTCCTCATGTAGTCTGCACTGATCAGCGCGGTCTGTGTGTACAGGCACAAGTAATATTTCAAGATGATGTTTGGGAACACATCTTTAAAATAACATGATACATGATATTCATATTCTTGGTTCTTTCAGTAAAGTCACGTAGAAGGGAAATAATAAAATAATAAAAACATAAAACAATAAAAAAATATAAAGTTTACATGAGTATGTGTGTAAATTAATGCTTCTGTGTAAAAGTGTTTGTCTATGTGTATCTGTATATGTCTATGTGGGTCTATGATTTTCTATGTAAGTCAGTGTTGGCTCGGCAGGGACCATCAACTCACTGCACTTGAGAAGCCAGATTATTGGATCTGACCCCAGCATCTCAGCAGTGTCAGATCAGCACCCTGACCTCCGAGCCACCAGGCCACCCCAGACATTGTCTAGCACGCGTTTCCCCACGACGTCGCCACTGGTGCCCTGACCGTCCACACGGCGCGGCCGATCCTGACGGCGCTGATGTCCGCCGGGTCCAATCCGCTGCTAGCGTAGACGCCGAATCCCCGAGACGGCCGCCACTGACAAGGTGAGGGCGAGGCGACGTGCCATGCTGGCACTGAAGGCACCTCCTGCATTCAAAGGTAGACCAAGGCAGTCAGGCAGGCAGGCAAGCATTACTTCGGTTGACTTGAGTATTCAAACAACCGACAGTTGCATGGGGGGAGGGCTTAATCCAGCAGTCGCTTGACAAAGACATCATGCTACTATTAAAAGTAATATATTCCTCGAGTTTCCTGGCTGGCTGCTGGCTGAGCTTCTCTCTGTCCCAAAAATGCAGGCTTCCCTCGCTTTACACGGTAGTAGTAGATACTTTCCAAAAAAAGGGCGCGCAAAGCGAAACTGCATGAGACAGCTGCCTACCGAGGAGCACACACACAGTACAAGGTACACACACAGTACACACAGTACACACACAGTACACGGTACACACACAGTACACACAGTACACGATACACACACAGTAAACACACAGTACACGGTACACACACAGTACACGGTACACACACAGTACACACACAGTACACGGTACACACACAGTACACACAGTACACGATACACACACAGTACACACACAGTACACGGTACACACACAGTACACGGTACACACACAGTACACAGTACACACACAGTACACACAGTACACACACAGTGGTGTCCCACGTCTGGCCGCGTAGCGACACGAGGAGTGAATTCAAACCGCATACGGCGATTTTTGGGTAGAAATAGGTTAGCCGCGTATACGCGAAATCGCACAAAACGAACCCGCATAGGGAATATAAAAAAACTCTCAATACATTTTATCTAGCCATTGTATTACATAAAAATGGAGAATAATGTTAGTGATCCGAGCACAGGTTTTTGAGAAGACTATGAATTCGACAGCTTTCGTTCAAGGTACCAACATTTTCCACGAGGCAAAAGCACGTGTACTCACGGCTTAAGTATACAATGTTGTGACTTGCCCGATCATTAACGCAACTGGCACAACAGTGCTCGTTTGTTTTCGACTGGCTCGGCTTGGGATAACCCACGCATAGCGTGCCGAAATCCTCTCTCGTTTAAATGCCCTCTCCCGCCGGTGCCGAGTTACGCTGTGGGTGTAGAGCAATGGCACGTGGGTGTACCCCATGCTGAGCCATCGCAATCCACGATGACAAGGCACTTGCGTAATGAATTGTTTCCGCTTACATAACTCGGATATATTGGAGCTACATGCTGTGGAGAGAGGCCCTAATCCAGCAGTGGATTGACAAAAGGGCTCTGTTCTGTACACTGTGATCCAGATGTCTGTACATGGTGATCCAGATGGGTATACATGGTGATCCAGATGACAACTGACAATGTCCGCCTTGTATATCCATTCATGTTTTAAATAAACCTTACTTTTAAATTAACTATTTTAGACAGTTTCATGGGGGGGGGGGGGGGGGGTCACAACACATCTGAAGCACCGTGTACATGTGCAGTGCAGTGTGACAACATGACGCCAGTGATAGTCAGAGGCAAAGAGATCGTGCGATGGCTGGAGAATAGAAATGTGCCTCTGCAAGGCACCAGCACACGACTTCACTGCATCGCTCCATCTCCCACGGTCGGTGACATCTCGTTCCGTGCTGGGCAGCTGTGTGAAGAGCTTCTTAGCTCATCGGATTCCTCCGCTCTGAGTAGAGATTCCTCGATCATCGGCGACGCCCAACTAACTTTACGTAACAGCTGATTCCGTGGTTCCGTAACATGCGTGTTCATCTCGTAGTCTCTCTAGGCAGTGATCGATGTGTATGTGTGTGTCTCGTCGTCGTTGTTGTTGTTGTTGCCCTGTGTAGAAGTCACGCCGATGTTTGACACGTGTGCCAAGCCCTTACCGTGCCTGGCGGTCTGTCGCGTTGATTACGATGGTGATTGTATTGTCAATAACGTGACAGGCGTTGTATTGTTAGCGATGGTACGAGCGGTGTGAGGGATGTGTCGTGTTGAGCCGGTGAATGGAGCCAATCGAGCGCAAATCTGCCATCGCCGCCGTGTAAATCGATTCCCAACACCAAGCTACTCGTATTTAGATTCCAAAGTTCGTTACTCTGGATAGCTTCAAACAAGATTTACGCTATTGTTGAATTGCTGTGATCGCGTAACAATAGGAGGAGTGGGGAATGAGGAGTGATGTTGTTTGTTTCATTGCAAAACAACACATGAGATGAATCGTTTGGAATCGGTTGTGATTTGTATCGCTTCGAATCGATGTAGATCCGTGTCTCTGCCTGCTCGGCGCTCCATTGCTTGGGCCACGTTCCGTAACTAACCACGTGGGGTGGACAGAACACACGTGGCGGCACGGAGAGATCTCAACGGATATGCAAAAAAAAAGAATAGGTTTTACCCTTTCTGGGCCGTCCATAAATGACGTCACGCGATTTTGGACGATTTTTGACCACCCCCCTCCCTCGTCACACGGCGTCACAAAAAGTCAGACCCCCCCTCCCCCTCAAATATGACGTCACAAAGCTCTGCCCCCCCCCCAAAAAACCCTATTTACATTTTGAAAATAAAAAAAAATGCTTCAAATCGCTTTAAACTATTCATTATAGTATTTATTTAATGTGGCCCTGCACTCTGATGTTGTAGGAGAAAACACGTATTAAAAAAGAGGCGTTGGAAACCTTGAATTTAGCATAAAATTCACTTGGAAATATTGAACGTCTAACTAAAACTGCAGATGTTCAGAATATTACATTTAAAATAAAATAAATCACGTTTCGGGCGCAACACAAGCGTCCCACCTGATGACGGACGCTTGTGTTGCGCCCGAAACGTCGTGATTTATTTTATTTTATACCTACGTGACTTTACCGAAAGAACCAAAGAGTACCTGTTTTGTTGCCAGAAAAAAGAGGAAACCCCTATTATCACATTTTGGTACTGGTGAAGGAGGTCCCATGATGAAGATACAAAATAACAATGTAATAAAACATTTTGCAATAACGCCTGCCCCTTTGCAAGGGTGCCAGTATCTAAATTAATAAATCCAAGTGGCCCATGCTGTGACATTTAAAGGAATGGTACGAGGTGTTTCAATTTCTTCAATGGCATCGACTTCAATATGCTGTCCTTAAATTTCTCGTAACCAAAGTAAAACCTTGAGATGTACATCTCATCACCGACGGTAGCTCACACCTTAGCTCCAGTCGTCCAGATGCACTTTACAAGACTAGCAGACATCGCGGCATAACCCATCACTTTGCTGACATCTCGAGATGTTCATCTTCATCACAACAGCGGCGCCTCCCAAGAAAACTTGTGTGGGACACGAGGTGGCGCTAGCGGGAAACATTATGAAAACGACTGCGCGCTTTGATGAATGCGCACGTAACACGCACAGCCCCTTCCGTCAATTCACTGCTGGATGATGGCCTGTCACCCCCACCCTCCAACGCCGTGAGAGTCTTGACGGTTATTTGACCATACTTCACCACGCTGGTCAGTGCAGGTTGCTGAAGGCGGGGAGCGTAGACGTTGTGGCTGTAAAACAATGCATGTTGCTGCACTGACCTCTATAGACAACGTATCCCAGCAGCAGCCTACAACACGTAATAATAATTATTTAATAATAATGTACAATATTTATTTATCCAGGACAACCACGCCGAGCCGTCGGACTGTTAAGACGTGTCCAGCCAGCGAATGACGAGTAAGTGTATTACACACGCGAGCGCGGAAACCGGAGCACCCGGAGAAACCCACTGCCGTACAGATGGAAACCGATGGCGATTAGTCCACTTGCCGTAAACCCGCCTTCTCCTGGCGAGCCCACCTCTTGGACGCGCACATGGAAGGAGTTTTGACAGTCGTGGTTTGTGCGATTCGCAAAACCCAGCTGAGCATTATTCAGGCACAAAGCTGCTTAGCTTATGAGAATCGGGCGCACATTACGACGAGAAACGTGGCCATATGCATCAACAGATGTCCATTTGACCAGGTTGTGTCGTATTTCGCAAACAATACGTGATGAACATTCGTCCATTATATGTGTATTTAGAATTACTGATAGAACTACACAATATCATGATCGTGTAATCTTCAGCTATATGTCCAATGCGATAGCCATAATAAAATCATTTACATCTATAGTTCTAGTGCACGATAATCCTAGTTTGCTCAACCACGCTTTGCAAAGTCAGCTTCCTCTTGCACTTCCCGTGATGAGTCAACGCCACAAGGGTGCTGACTGTCGACACAGGAATGCATTCCACGGTTTGAGTGTAATAAAAAAAACATCGTGAGTTTCTCTGCAAAAAAAAGTTTCCCTTTTGGGAAGATTCAGGCTCACGTCTGGAAGGAACGAAACGGAGCAGGAGCGCAGTAAGTGTACGGGCCAGAAAATAGTTGCAGGACTTTATGCGAAGGAATGACACAAATACACACCACGTTTTCTCATTGAAAATTGGTACATTTCAAAATAAAACTGTTACAAAAGCAAAGTTTTTGTGGGGAATAATAGCCATTTTCTGTACGTTTGAGCCATAAGCAATTAGGAAATAACACTTACTACCCAAGAACATTTTTTTAATCCTTTATATTATGTTCGCTTGCTTTCTTTCGTGCTTGCTTGCTTGCGTGCTTGCTTGCTTACGACCGTGCAAATCTTTCGGTCGTTTTTTAACCCACTTCCCGTGATCCAATCGAGCTGACATTTTCCACACAGACTCGTTGTGCGAGACAATTAATATTCGTGAAAAAATGTTTCCAAAATTTTACACTGTTTAGGGAAAACAAATTAAATATTTAATTACCAATTGCTTAATACTGACAGACAATCATCTGACCCATAGGTGGCAGCCATCTCAAGCTAGAGGACGCCACGCATATAAAGGATTTATAGTGAAAAAACTTTGTTTTTACTAGGTTTACTTGTTTACACTGTGATTCGTGACAGCGCCATCTGTCGGAGCGATAAGTCGCTGTTACAATCCCGTGAGCCGCCCTCCTCCACCACCGCTGCGAAGCGCAACAACATGGGACGGTCACTCGCAAATTCCGCTTCTACAAATCGGACC